CGTGATATGTATTTTACTATTGTTCTAAAAAAGGGAGGAGGAGATTGTAGTTTTATTCACAAAAAACCACTTCAACATTTTCTTTTTACGGACTTGTTGATTGATTCAAGATACAATGTAATACTACATATTTAACAACTGTAGGTAGTATGACATTCTTCTCATTTCAATTTTTGACAGAACATGTTGCTTTTACAATTGAGTACGTTAATGATAATTATTACATCAAAATATCTTTGGCAGAAAGGCACCCCTTGCTTTCTATCGTGCCAAATTGGTTTCATTTTCAAATATGATTGTGCAACCGCATGAGCTACTCCGTACATGATCCAATAAACAAGTACAAACAATTGTTATCTAGTAATNCAAATTGGTTTCATTTTCAAATATGATTGTGCAACCGCATGAGCTACTCCGTACATGATCCAATAAACAAGTACAAACAATTGTTATCTAGTAATCGTATCACAAGTTTTATTTTACTTGATTGAGTTGTAATATATTTAGAYTTTTTGTAATTTATTTGTTGATTTATCAATTAACTAATTTTGATGATCTTTTATATTAAATTATTTTATCTTTGTAGCTTTAAATATTTATTTAGAATAAAATAAATATATAAATTATCAAATAATTAAAACGTTAACATTATAATTGTTAAAAATAAAAAACAATCTTATAATTATTTGAATTAATTTATAAATGRTTAGTTGGCAGAAAATTTATAAAATATAATTTAATTAAAAATTAAAACATAAATTTAAAAAAAAAAAGGAAAATTAGAACAAACTACTTGAAATTAATTTTCAATTTTTTTTGCAGCAAACAATGTTGACAAGAGAGGGTATACTTTGCCTATAGAGGGGTGCAAATATCTCCACCCTTGTAATTTCTAAAGTAAATTAATTACTTTTTTTACTTTTTAGTTTTTGTTGGTTGTTAAAAATTGCCCTTTGGTTGATAAATTAAGGTCTCAGTTTCTATAATTTGTAATTTATTGTTAATTATATTCTTGTAAACTATAATTTATT